TTGCCTATGTTATATGTCTAAAAGTTCTTCATGCATGTACTGTTTAGTCTTTCTTGCTAGATAATTTGCTTTAGTAGTTGTGACTTGGTGTTAGTGGTTTGAATCTTTGCATGTTTTTTTTTAAATAACTAATGACCTTGACCTACTTGTATTATTGGTTGTTTGAAACTTTATCTTTAAAATAGTTTCTCTGCCCACATGCAACTCCTCCTTTTAGATGTACTTATTCCCCCACCTCTTTACCACACTCAAATCTTCCCCCACTCTGTCTATCTATATCCCCCACCACTTAGGGTGGGTATAAATGAGAGAGCATATTGGTTAATAACATCATTCTGTTGCCAGCCTGCAGAAAAGCCATGGACCCCTGCTTAAGAAAGACTACCAAGCCAATGAAGCCAGTGGCAGGCATGAAGAGATCTAAACTTCAGGAGGCGTTGACTGGAGGTGTTAAGAAGATGAAATCATCAACTCCTTCTGAAACCCTGGTCAACAAGACTCTGTCGCAGCCGGGATCCTCTTCATCTGCCGCCAAGACTCTTTCGCAGCCAGGCAAGACTCTGTCGCAGCCGGGATCCTCTTCATCTGCTTTGTCTGACGATGCAAAGAAAACAACTACAATATCAACTCAATCTTCCCTTGCCGCCAAGACTCTTTCGCAGCCAGGATCTTCTTCTGCTTTGTTTGAAGATAGATTGAAGAAACCTTCTTCTGGTAACACTTCGTCGAAGAAACGGTCTGATTCATCGTCTTCCTCTTCTTCTTCTTCGTCATCATCTTCCTCGTCTTCTTCATCGTCCTCGTCCTCTTCTTCTACGTCATCGCCCAAAAATCAAACAATTAAGTCCCCTCTATCCATGCTTCTCTCTCCCATAATTCTCTCCTTGCTATCTCCTATTAAATCTCCAGAAAAGCCATCCACTCCCAAACGTAAGCCATCTCCAAAACCTCAACCACATAGCCTAACTCTTCCTAATTTAAATTCCTCCTCGAACCAAATGCCTGACATAGATTCTCCTGAAATTACCATTCCAAACCCCCCACCCAAATCCCTCCCTGCTGCACCCACCGTTGTTAGAAAACTCTTTACTAAAACTGAATCCTCAAAAGAATCCCTTCCCCCCCATTCAAACCCTTCTGAAAAATTGGTAAAACTCATGGCCAAAAGACGAGCTGCATTTAAGCCCAAGCCACAATGTTCTTATATTTTCCAAAAAGGGGTGAAAAAAGGTGAGCGTTGTGAAAAGTCCTGCTTTTCTGATGCTAATGTGTGCAGCCTCCACACTAAGGGGAAAAGCAGGATGGTACCCACTCAACCTAAAATTATTAGCAGCAAACCTGTCGCTACCAATCCTCAGTCATTTGAAAGACCATCAATAATCGTCAAAAGCCAGGCTCAGGAAAAATCTTGTACATCTGATCCAACACCGAGCACCTTCACGTGTTGTTGTGATAGACAAGATTTTGCCTAGCCAACCACGAACGTCAGGCTTTGCTCGACCCTGTCGTCCACCACAAATTCAAGCTAAAAAAACCAGAATTGATAGGCTACCCAAAAATCGTAAATTCGAAATTCTTTTGATGACACCAAACGGTGAAGTCATTTTAAGAGAAGGAAATGACAGGTTCCGACTTAAATTACCCAGAGGCATGACCATCCCGAATACAACCCACCGATACTACATAATTCGTGATCGGTCTTCGGGATGGGCATCTGTAACATTATAAATTGGTTTAGTTTCAAATTGATCTTAATTATCCTCTAAATTCTCCTTTAGTATGCAAAAATTGGGAACGCATTTGTTATAGCCTAACAAATGCGTTCCCAATTTTTGCATTTAAAGAGTGACCTTGAGATTTTAGAAATAGATTATTTTAATCAGAGATTTCCATCTAATTTATTCATAAAACATTAGAAACAAATTTGTTATATCCTAACAATGTGTTCGCAAAGTTTCATGTATAATATTTTGATAAAGTTATTTTAGAAAACATATTGATTGTTCAAGTTGTCCAATATTACATCAACATTTTTCTATATTGTAAAATTAACTATTCTAAGGACATTTAAAAGATATATTATGTTTATCTCGTGTTTTGCAAAAAGATCTTCATTGCCATTGTGTATAAATTAAGTGTAACACTTTATGATATAACTCAATATATTTTCATAATCCTCAAAGGCATCTAGGCATACAAACACAAAATTTATTTGCATTAACTGTTTAAGGTTAATTCCTTTACATTTCATCTTTGTTAACAGGTTTACTTGAATAGTAGTTGTACATTTTATACTTAAGTAGTGTTGAACTTTACAAGACATAGAAAACAAACATATAAATGGTTAGCAACCATAATACTTTGTTACCATTCGTTTTTTAGTATGGAAATAAATATGATAGAAGTTTCTATGTTTGGTTTTTCTTATTAAAACCCCTACTGATCCATTTTTAATATTGCAAATTACTAAGACGTAAAGATGTATCGTTTTTATGATCAATACAGTTGCGGAAATTTTATTAGCTTAATAACTTTGTCCAACAATTAGGTCAAGGTTAAACTGAAGAGTTTTTAAAAAATAATAAAATCAGCTACATATCTTCTGATTCACTCTCTGAACTAAAGGATAAACTTCTTCGAAAATTACCACAAAACTTTTTAGTTGTTGTCAAATTTATACTTAAGTAGTGTTGAATTTTATTAGACATAGCCAATGAATATATAAATTATTAGTAGCCATAATACTTTGTCTACATTCGTTTTGTAGCAAGAATAGGAATAAATATACCAGAATTTTATGTTTTTAACATTGCAAATAGTTTGTTCTGCTACGTCACCATGACTTAAAAATTGCTAAGATGTAATATGTAATGATGCTATTAGCTTGATTAACTGTGTCCAACAATTAGGTCAAGGTTAAACTGAAGAGTTTTTAAAAATGGTAAAAAGCTACATATTTTCAGATTCACTCTCTGAACTAAAGGATAATCTTCTTCGAACATTGCCACAAAACTGTAATACTCGACAAAGTTTATTTTCTCCATTTTCAACTTCATCTGCTTGAACTGGAATCTTTGGTGTTTCACAGTAGTCCGAATGAAATTCATTGTTCGGTGTGGGTTGACCTTGTTCGTTGTTCACATCCTCGTCCAGTTGTTCTTCCTCTAGCATCTCTTGCAAGTCCTCGTCGTTTTCTGTATCACTTTCATTTTGTGCTTCATCAAAATCAGTCTCCCAGATTCGAGGCTCTACTCCAGTAAGGTTCGTGTGGTCCGTAGGAGGCATTGCGAATATGTAAGCTATAATGCTGCTTCCTGCGTTATTATAAAATCCCGCCCACGACCCCCACCACCACCATAAAATACTTATGCCATTGGTGGAAAGGGTTGGGGTCTAATCCCCTCCCCCTTATTGAATAAATAGAGTGGGGGGTTATACACTGTGTTATATATATAAGTCACGCACGCAACTGATATCATTCCTATGAACACAACCATGCAGTGTGTAATGTAGCTAGTTTCCTTAGTAGTGTCTTAAACTACGAAAATGTATCAATGTGAAAATTGTCATGAGTCTTTTGAGGATGAATTTCTCCTCAATATTCATAATGAACTATTACATATGTCTAATGAATCTTCAACACCTATGGAATATGAAGATTTGATTGAAGACCCCTTCTTACAACAGAACAGACCAACAGTTATACAGTATGCACCACCAAACCAACAATTATCAGTAGAAATATTAGCCCAAGCATTTCCTAAAGCCATAGTAAACCATTTCAAAATTTCTAATACAAATTATGATTTGTCAGATTTTATTTTAAAAGCTAAACCCCTTATCATAAAAACACTACAACAGGAACTAACCAGACTTAATTTTATCAAATTTGGCTTGCTCTTGGACACTAGATTTACAAATGTACAAAATGAGGTGTCCCCTCGGGGGTTTATAACACGAAATAAATCCATCATGGTAACCACTGATCTGGAGGCTGAAGTCGACAGTTGCTTGGAAGAAATTGTTGTTAAAATATCTGAACATGAAGGAAGAGGATCTGGGTGGTCTTTGTTAAGCGTAGACAGCTTAGATATACGTGTACATAAACATGGGTATGGTGATAGAGGTAGTAGTTTCATCCCACTGCCCAAAAAGATTGCTAATACAAGAACTTGCATAAATGTTCAAAATGAAGACAATGAGTGTTTTAAGTATGCTGTTTTAGCAAAGTTTGTTGAAGACAGGCACGCCTATAGACCAAGCCGTTATTATAGTGAAGTGGCTCATAAATATAATTTTACAGGTTTGGTTTACCCAGTGTCTTTAAAAGATATCAAGAAATTCGAAAAACAAAATCTTAATTCATCCGTTAATGTGTATGGATTGGATGAGTCTAATAATGTGTTTCCTATTCAGATTACATCTCATGAACGTAGAGACCATACAGATCTTTTACTTCTTACAAATGGTAAAATCTCACATTATGTTTACATAAAAAACTTTTACGCACTTTTATCAAGACAGTTATCCAAAAGGAAGATGAGTCTCACCATTTGCAAACGGTGTTTTTGCTACGCTGCCAAACCATTTCATTTGGGGGGTAAGGAATGGTTACTTGACCACCAACGTCTCTGCAATAGTAAGGACGAAGTAAGGGTTAAATTACCTCACCCTAATAGAGCTTTTATTAAATTCAACAAAACGGCTCAACAATATCGAATACCAATTGTTATATATGCAGACTTTGAGTCATCGTTAGTTCCTTTAGTTTTAGATGAGTGTGATCAAAGCAAAATTAAAAAAATTCAATTTCATGAACCAAACAGCTTTTGTTTAATGCTTAAATCAACTTTGGATGAAGATCATTTACGTCAGTACGGGTTGACAACCCAACCACTTGTATATCGCGGTGAAAATGCTGCTAAGTCATTTGTAGATAACCTTTATGATATAGCTAATAAGGTGGAAAAACTGTATAGTTATGTAGTTCCAATGATTAATCTTACACATGATGAATTGACATTCCATGAAAGTGCGGATAGATGTTACCTTTGTGACTGTAGTTTTACAGAAGACAACAGGCGTGTTCGGGATCATGATCACCTGACTGGTTTTTACAAAGGCCCTGCTTGCAACAGTTGTAACATTAATTTTAAATTACCAAAGTTTATCCCAATAGTGTTCCACAATTTAAGTGGATATGACTCTCATTTCATAATTCCTGAATTAGGTAGAGACAAAGGGGCGATTGATGTTTTAGCTACAAGTACGGAGAAATTTATTAGTTTTTCGAAAAAAGTGGGTAAAATAAAATTAAGGTTTGTAGACTCTTTCAGATTCATGGCTTCTAGTTTAGAGAAATTGACAGCTAATTTGCAAAGAGAACATTTTATTGAAACTCAAAAGATTGTCGCATCTGATCACATGGATTTGGTTCTTCGTAAAGGAGTGTACCCTTATGATTATATTGATAATCCTGAAAGATTTAACGAGACCTCACTACCACCCATTGAGGCATTTTACAGTCAGTTAAATGATTCTAATATTGACCCTGAAGACTATCAACATGCTTGTCAGGTATGGAGTGAGTTAAACATGAACACCTTAGGCGAGTATAGTGACTTTTATGTGAAGTTAGATGTAACACTTCTTTGTGATATAATGGAGGAATTCCGTAACACCTGTATAGCGGCCTACGGATTAGACCCTCTACATTCATACACCTCGCCTGGATTAGCTTGGCAAGCTATGTTAAAAGAAACAAAATGTACATTACAGCTGTTAACAGACATTGATATGGTGCTTATGATTGAATCTAGTATCCGTGGGGGACTTACCCAGAGTGTAACAAGGCATGTCAAAGCAAATAATAAACACATTCCAAACTTCAAGAAGGAGGACCCATCAGTTTATTTAGGGTATTTTGACGCCAATAACTTATATGGGTGGGCAATGTCAAACCCACTTCCATATGGTAATTTTCAATGGATTGATCCAATATTATTAGGTGATGTAACAAGTATCCCAAAAAATGGAGACACCGGATTCATAATGGAGTGTGATTTTGAATACCCATCCACACTTCATGATCATCACTATGATTTACCTCTATTAGCTAAATCTGAAATACCACCAGACGGAAAACATCCTAAGCTGATGATGACGCTTAACGACAAGGAACGCTATGTTGCCCATTTTTGGGTTGTCCAACAAGCCATCGAACTTGGTCTAAAATTAAAAAAGGTTCACCGTGTTTTACAGTTTAATCAATCATGTTGGTTAAAAACATACATTGACTCAAACACAAAAAGAAGAGCTGCAGCATCATCGGCTTTCCAAAAAGACTTTTTTAAGCTGATGAATAATGCAATATTTGGAAAGACCCTAGAAAATAAAAGAAAACATAAAAATGTTAAGTTAGTGTCGGATCCCAAAAAGGTAGAAAAACTTGTAAGACAACCAAATTTTAAAT